TTAATGATAATTTTAAAGTTAGTTAAAATTTTTCCTCTCTTTGCATAGTTCTTTTTTACCAGTTGTTTTTACCTGTTCATTTTAGTGTCTATAGTCCTTTCTGTTAATTCCTTTTTTCAGGTGGCTGGTGATTTCTGGTGGTCTGCTCACATTTAAGAACAGGAGACTAAAAAGTAGATTGGAGCATTTTTAACAGTAGCCAAAAAGTGGAAAAAACCCAAATGTTCATCAGCTGACGAATGGATAAACAAAATGTGGTCTATCTATACAATGGAATAGAAAGAAGTGAAAAAGCCATAAAAAGAAGTGAAGTTCTGATACATGTTTATTGATGAATCTTGAAAACATTATGCTAAGTGAAAGAAGTCAGGTACAGAAGGCCACATATTATATGATTCCATTCAGATGTATGATTTGTCCAAAATAGGCAAATCCATAGAGACGGAAAGCAGGTTAATAGTTGTCAGGGGGTGTTGGGTGGAGGGAGGAATTGGAACTAACTAGTAGGTTTAGGCTTTCTTTTGGGGCGATGGAAATGTCCTTAGTGATGGTTGCACAGCATAATGAATAAAACTATGATATTAAAAACCACTGAAGTGTACACTTTAAAATGGTGAGTTTTATGTTGTCTGAAATATATCTGTTTTTAAAAATGTTACAAAAAGAGGANTCAGGTACAGAAGGCCACATATTATATGATTCCATTCAGATGTATGATTTGTCCAAAATAGGCAAATCCATAGAGACTTAAAGCAGGTTAATAGTTGTCAGGGGGTGTTGGGTGGAGGGAGGAATTGGAACTAACTAGTAGGTTTAGGCTTTCTTTTGGGGCGATGGAAATGTCCTTAGTGATGGTTGCACAGCATAATGAATAAAACTATGATATTAAAAACCACTGAAGTGTACACTTTAAAATGGTGAGTTTTATGTTGTCTGAAATATATCTGTTTTTAAAAATGTTACAAAAAGAGGATAATTTGAACAGTAGCATGTTAAAAGATGCTTAGGAAAATAGATGAAACCATTTATTTTAACAGAAGTGGTCCTTATGGTTGCACTGTGGAGGTCAAGTGTGATCTGAGGGATGCCATGACACAGTAAAACCCAATATTAGTTTTATTCTTTTTTTTTTTGTCTTTTTCCGTGTTCAGCAACGGATTGCAACCCTCAGTGTCGCCCCTGTACTGGACT